GTAGTGAGTGTAGAAATTCTGTGTATTACAAAGTTGTATCGAGAAAGAATATTAATTTTATTTAAGAAAGGATTTGTATCGCTGAAGTTCCTCGAAAAGAATTTATACTGGAAATTAACAAACGAACAGAGACATGACACCATCTTCTTAGAATCCGTTCATTGAGAAAAGGTTGTACTTGTAAAGTAAATTGACCTTTTGGTTTATTCTTCTTTCTTACAAGTGAATCATTTTAAGTTATTATTATTATTATTGTTATTATCAATAATTTAAAGCAAAAGACTATATCAAAACCTTATAAACTTCTAAAAGCAAAAGTTGAGCAATATACATTTTTAAGTGCTTGTACAAGGCCACCCAGAGATTAGATAGGGCCCAGGGTAAATTTAAAACAGGGACCACGCATATACTATATGAAATTGTTTTGAACATTAGTAAATTAATTAACATTTTCAGTAATGCTAACTTTATAAAATTGAATAAAAGAGTACCTACATACTGGTACCTCACTGAATGCTAATTGTCAAGACGTTTAAAAAATATTTTATATTTTAGGGAGTCATAGATTTCTCTGAATGCTAATTGTCAAGACGTTTAAAAAATATTTTATATTTTAGGGAGTCATAGATTTCTCCTATTCTTTGTTTTGCATCACAAAATTATTTGTGGCCCACTTCTCTCTATTTTTCAGTTTTTATTACACAATAACTTGTATTATGAGGGCCCAGGGCAAAATGCCCCTCTCAGGCAGTCCTGTACTTGTAAGAATATAATGGTATAACATCATATTAATGCATACTTTGAGTCAATCAATTTATGAGAATCTACATTTTATATATTTAAGTAATATGCTGCAAGTGAACTCTGAAGGATTACACAGAGACTGACTCAATCAGAAAAAAATATAATTTAATGTACCTCCTCCTAATAGTTTACAACCTGGCACAATCACCAAGTCTTACCAAAGCACTAATCTTCTAGAAGGTTGTCCCCCGACATAAATACTGATTCCACCAATAAGATTAACCTAATGAACAAATATTTCCTTAAATACTTTGATATATGAAAATGCACTGTATCACAAAAAATTTGTGAATTACTAATAAAGTAGAGGATCTAGTCATTATTCAAGCTATCAACAAAAAATGTAAAAGTTTTTACAACATCCTTTTTGGCAAAAATGCAAACTCTAATTTTAAAACTGCAGCACACCTACTTCCTAAGCTTATGTAGTTACAGCAAACCAAATAAACCTAGGAAGTGAGCCATTACTAAATTCTTCATATGCATGGCTTTTATTTCCATATCATAAAGGGGAAGATTTCAATTTCCACAAAACTTAATACTTCTTTCCTAAATTTTCTGTAAATTTAAGGATTTCTCGATCATAACTTTTGGTTGAAGAAAATATTTCATACCTTTAAAACTGTGGCATTTTAGACATACTTGTAAAAAAAAAAAAATACAACCAGGCAATTAAAAGACATACTGTGCTCAATACCTTGTTCACATCAGTTATCATATAAGATCCTTCCAGACATAATAAATTCTGAAAGAAAATATGATATGGCACTTTTTATTTTTCAAAAAAATTCATGATGGCAAAACTGTCTTTATTTTTTACCAAATTAACTTTATTATTCAGGGAAATTTTATATGTTTACACATCTCTAGTTTCTTAAGCAAACATAACAGACAAAATTTTATTGGCATGTATTTTACAAGTTACCAAAACATAATTCTCAAACTAAAGTAATGCAAAAGTAAAATCTGCTGTCCACTAGTGACAAAATTTGAACCATTAATCCTAGCTTATGTAACAGGATTTTTTAATTACTGTTTATTTTTAGAATTACTACTTTATTTTATTTACATTTTTTTTGTCTAATTTTATTTTAGCAGTCCTTAAACAATGGAAATCCTTCATATCACCCTCAGACATTTCACTACTCTTATTATGAAAGCGTCTGCACAACACCATGGGTTACATTAATCAAAAAATCATTGTTCTCAGATTGTTTCTAACTTAATAATTAATACAACCAGCCTTAGCAGGTATCACAAAACTATAACACTGCTGCATACACTGTACATGCCTCTAGATCAAGAGCTTATGGCCATGTAATGCTACTTTTGTGAAATTACTGTAATATGGGTCAACATAATATTACAGTGTATTACATGTTTCTGATGTAATTTACACTGTACAGTAATATAAAAGAAATAATGTTTATGAGTAAAAGAAAATGTAGATATGTTCAAGTACACAGAAAGAACATGGTTTTCCAGTGTGTTGTGTACATGTATTTGTTAAGGCAGGTATGAAATATGTCTCTGAAACTGATTTCATACGTGTTCTATGAAGATCAGCTCAAACACAAGTTGGCCAGTTTATTCTCACTATTGGTTAATGTTCAAAGTACATAGTGATGATAGTGGGGATGAGAATTAGTGTCCATGAAAATGACATTGGGTTCCATGGTAAAATTAACAGCATTCAACTTTTTATCATAGCAGATATATTTTCCTTTGTGAATTTTTTTTCAGTGAGTGGGGCTGTTTGATGTCTGATGTGGTGCACATCAATCAATGCTGAAGATGCAGTATGTCTAAAATAGTACAGTTTTAAGAGTACCTACCCTTTTTGCACCAACAATTATCATATGCAATTAAAAACCTCAAATTTGCAAACAATTAGGGGTGGGAAAAGATTGAGTTTAGGCGGAAGAGCTTCTCCCTGTCATATAAAAAGAAAACTTCTGTAAATACCTTCCACATTTTCAGAAAGCCACCCTAGATTCTGTCCTGTACATGTTATGTCCATACTAACTTCATACATGAGGAGCATCTTAAATCAGCAAAGTAAGTACCTGTACTTGTCTGTAAATAGAATTGAATACCAGTGACATCTTTATCTTATGAGATGATACTGACAGCATTGTACTAGATACGGTCTGACATTACAATATCTTGATAGTGTGAGAAAGTAATAAGTGATTGGCAATATATAATCTATTTTTCACTGTCTGTGGGGTGATGTAGGCTCTCATAGCTTGATGAAACCATCTACTGCTTCTCACAACACCAATAAAGCAATTTTACTGAAGAAGATCAACAAGACATTGGCCCTGAAATTATGTTATTGGAGTATAGCCTGTCACTTACTTGGGATATATTTTCTTACACTGTTAGTTTAGTATTTAATTATGTAAGTTAGAAATTTTACTTTAAAGTACTCCAAAATCAGCAGCCACAGTTCCTTGAACATCTTCCTCTCAGACATGAATTGTCCAATTATAAGTGATACCGAAGAGCCATGTCCATGATCTACAATTAATTCACAAAAGCAATTGCACTGTCTATTCAAAAGATAATCCAAAAACATCTTCTGATTTATGTAATTGTGTTGGGAATTGGTTGTAAAAATTATGAATGATGATTGG